ATAAGTGCCCCCTTAACTATATATGCTACTGCGCTTCTGTCGCATAGCAAGTCCTTAAGACTTGCACTTCCTGGCTCTTCCTGGCGCAGCATTGCTTGCTTACTGCTGGAGTTTGGACCTCTCTCTTATTCCGTGGCCTCTAGACTGCTCCAGAGATCGTCGTGCTGGGAGCTAATTCAAAATCGAAAGGGTGTTGAGCGACGGCTTCGGACCAAAAACGAAAGATCTTGAGCCCCAAAAAAATTTTCCTTGCAATCGGAGCTCGACGATTGTGGACTTTCTCGCTCCTCTCACTCTCTCGCTCCACTCACTCCGCTCACTCGCTCCGCTCTCTCGTTCGCTCCATTCGCTCCGTGAGCTCGTTTTGAACCCAGGTTTAAAAATGGATTTGGTTTCATTTTCTTCTCATCTCTTTTTCTTCGTTTTTTTGACACCAAAAAACATTCTCGTGTGGCTTTCCTTTTTTGTTTGGAGAGAACGTTAGGTTTTCTTTTGTCTCTTTTTTCTTGCTTTATGGTCCCCGAAAGAAATTCTCGTGCAGCTTTCCTTTTGTGTTTGGAGAGAACGTCAAGTGTTGATTTTTCTTCGTTTTTTGGCGCCCAAAAGCGTTCTCGTGGCTTTCCTTAAGTGTTTTGGGAGAATGTCAGGTTTTTGAACCCAGGTTTGAGAATGGATTTGGTTTCATTTTCTTCTTTTATATCTTTTTCTTCGCTTTTTGATCCCAAAGCGTTCTCGTGTGGCTTTCTCCTTTTTTTGTTTGGAAAGAACTTCAAGTTTTGATTTCTGGGAGCTTCGAAGCCTTTGAAAGCTCGGACGGGGACTTCGAAGCCTTTGAAGGCTTTGAAGGGGGCCTCAAAGGCTTTGAAGGGGGCTTCGAAGCCTTTGAAGGCTTGGAAGGGGGCTTCGAAGCCTTTGAAGGCTTTGAAGGGGGTTTCGAAGGCTTCGAAGGTCCCTTCGTTCTCGTCCTCGAAGGCTTCGAAGCCTTCGAAGGCCTCGAAGGGGGCTTCGAAGCCTTCGTCCTCACCTTCGAAGCTTTCGAAGCCTTCGAAGGCTTCCTCACCTTCGGCGGCCCCCCCCCCTCCCGGCCCCTTCGACCCGTCGACCTTCGAAGGCTTCGAAGGCTTCGAAGGTCTCGTCGAGGAAGGGTCCCGGGAACCAGCCCCACGTGGTTTTGGACCTTTTTCCAAGAAGTAGGCCTTCCTTAAAAAACCAGAGGTAGCTTTTCAGTGTTTGCTTGAAAAAACAGGTAGCAGAGCAAGAAAATCAGAGGTATTCTTGAAGACCTTGGAAGGCTTGCTCCAAAATTTCCCCTCGGATCTTGCTCGGCATTTAAGCGGTCAAGGTGGGGTTCAGCCTTGACAAAATGAAAAAAAGGCTAAGTGCCGGTCCAAGCTGTGGACATTCAGGTCCGAACCATTGCAGAAAACCGGAGTCAAGAATTTGGAAACGAAAACGGAAAGCGAGAAACCAGCTTTGGACTGGGGTGGTCAGTCTAGGAAGGGTGAAACTCAAAGACTGTGGAACACGGAAAGACTTGCAACATTTGCATGTTCCAGTGCGCTTGCATGAGTGCACTGTTTCAAGCTCTCCAAGAACTCCAGACTTCCAGCCAACCACACCCCAATTTTTCAAATTTCAGACCCTGGTCGACGAGAGCTCTTCTTCTTTTTGAACCGTTGTGCAACGGTGCAATCACGTCTTGACTTGTCGGTTTACCAGCACACATCTTTTCTCTGTTTCTTTGGGCAAGCTGTCATTGGAAACGGAGGGCGTCATTCCTTCCCCGCCACACCGGTTCAGAGGTCCAGAATTGAAATGTTGGCGTGGGGGGTTGTCTCACTCAGGAAGATGTCTGGAGATGCAGCAAGAACGTCCGGAATTTCAAGTTCAAGCTTCTAAGCTCGGTCGGAGTCTGCTACTGGAACTGACTCGAAACCCTAGCAGACTTCTTGAACCATTGTAGAAATGTGACAAGGACTTGGAAACGAAAACGGCGGACAAGCCCAGGAAAGGGTGAAACTCAGAGACTGTGGAAAACGGAAAGCAGAAGGCGCGGACGTGAATGCGGAAAAAAATAGCCAAGCAAACTTGAGTGTGAGTGGGAACGAGAGTGAGAGTGAGAGAGAGTGAGAGTGAG